TAGGCGCCACCGAATGACGGAAAGTAAAAAAGAAAGATTATTTTTACCCCCCGCAAACCCGGGGCGGACGACGGGCTTCCAGCGTTATCCCGACGCGTACGATGTGACTCGTACAACGAAGCGTGAACTTTAACCCTATTCGCTTGGCAGGAACCGAAGGAAACGCGACTTTATCTTTCATTTTTTTTCCTATTTACGCGCATTTAAAAGAGACTTTTTAAATATATGACGATTTTATTTTATGATTTTAGACTTTATAAAAATGAACGAAATTTGAAAGGCATTTTCGTAAACGGGTCCTACGAGAGTGCTATGGGTGAAAAACTTGTATTTCTATCGGACTTTTTAAAGATGCTGACGGTAGTTTAAAAAGTTGAGATCCGGTTTTTAATAATCGAGCGTTTCTTGTGCCGCCAAATTGTATGAAAAGTCGTTGCAGAATTTCTTTTCGGCCGTTTCGTCCAAAACTCGTCTTATACGTTTGACCAAAGATTCGACTACACTCAATTCGGTGGCACGGTACGCGTCGGAATAACGTTTCCGGCCCGTCGGTGCTCCCCGTTTCTGGCTGTAAAAATGAATTATTTTTTTGTTTTTTACTTTTCGTCACCCGGTGGCGCGTGGCTAGACGAAAGCGCCATAGGCCGCTTACGCTGGGAGTAAATGAGATTTTAGAGGAATGCGCCCCCGCCGAAATCCCCGTCTTCTGTTTTCGTCCGGGACTTTATCCATTTTCCTCGGTTTAAATACGTCTCGAGGGTTGATGGCTTCTCTTTATAACCCGGTGGCGATGGGTTTACGCGGGGAAGAATCCAGCGCGGATCGGCAAATTACCGTACTTTCGCGCCGCCCGGACAGATCCGAACCCAGGAGTCTAAGTACAAGCGAAGAAGACGCGAGGTCGGCACCTCCAAATAATGGGAAAAGAGAAGAGTAGGAGAAGAGATTTACGAGGCGAAAGCGGAAGGAAAGTGAGAAAAAGCGCGTTATGCGAGGAACGAAAGTATTTAAGTATAACTACTCTTTCGATTGCCACACACCTTCGACCAAACGAAAATGGCGTGAAAATAGTAATTGCCGGTGATGAATTTTTGTTGGTTTTCCTTTTGATAATTTGATTAAAATGCAATAAATATTAAAGTAGCTTGGAATTCGTGAGAATGCGAAATTTTTTAATGAAAAATAATTATTTGAAGATCAAATGCGAGTACGGTACATTCGAAAGCAACAAGATGTTGTAGGATAGTGACCACCGTTGGAACGCAATCTCGGAAACAATAGTATCATAGTTTGACGTGAAATATTTGGCCGTGTTGCTCTATTCCAGTTTGCCCGTCAAGCTGTAAGAGCAAAACATGCCCTGAACCGTAAGCATTTTATTTTAGACCAATTACCAGTTCCAAAAGAATGACTGTCTCCAGTTATTGGAGAACATATATTTTAATTTTCAACTATCATACTGTATACGCAAGTAAAGTACCGTACGGTACAGTAATGTGGGCTATGTGGTAACTTTGAATTTAATTCGTTTTTCAGTTTTATATTGATTTTTACCACGAATAATTTTAAACCCATCGATAATGGCTTTTGATGGTCGGGCTAGTCGTATTTTCTCTCGTTTCCGTCCCGTATCCGGTAGGACGATAGTATTAACGGGATAACGCAACGCAATTGGCGGGCCGTGCGTCGAAAGGAGATGCCTCCGGAAATACTATTTCAACGTTACGGTGGTATCTCGTACTTCCAACGCTAAATTCGACAAAAATTTGCCTGGGATTTTCAACGATGCTTCGGAGTTCGAACCGTACTCGTACCGAAAATACGCTCGAACCGTAAATGCCAGTCGTCTCTGACTCCGCGTTACGCCGGTATGTTTTCGGTACTGTTTTCGCTTGGTTATATACATTGTGTTTTTCGTCGATTTTTAACAATTTCTTCCGGCAACTTTTCTTCGTCGGCATCTTTCGAATGCCCCGTACGTTGTTTATCCGTCGGTTCAAATTTCCGCAACGGAACTTTTTCAATCATACTTGCATATTCGAATCTCGGGAGCATCTTCCCCGTACATATTACCAACCTTTTGTCCCGTTCGTACAGCGTTATATCCTTTCCGAAATTCTTATAGTAGCATGCCGGATACGTTTTTTATTCGATGACATTTCTACTCCATTTTATTCGAACAAGATACGAAGTAAAAAGTTTAAAATAAGCTTGTAAACAAAGACTACGATTTGCCATTAGCACCATTAGACGGTGGTGTCCAATTTCACCGCCGTCACAGTTAAATTACGCATCTACGTTAAGTAACGACGGTCGTTAAAAATAAGCAAAAACTTTCCGTTCGATTCAATAGAACTTTTGCCAGTTAACCGCAAAACCCGAAAAAGGTGCGGAAGCGAAAAAGTCTAAAAGGAAGGGCGCAGTACGGGCAATCGAAATGAAAAAGGAACTTATGAAAAAAGCGGTAGGCGTGGGGAATTCGTTTAAGACGCCAAAGTCCACGGCGTGCGACCGGTAACTGCAATTTGCATTTTATTATGCATTATTTACGTATTTTATTTACTGTTTTCCAGTTTTAACTTATTATTAGAGAGCGTGTTCATTTTACAATGCTAATAATTTTATTATTAGAATCGTGTTAATTTTACATTAAATAATGGGTATTTGCGGCTTTAGGTATATCGAAACGGGTACAGTCGGGGGTGGGGAACCAATCGACTTTCCGTTATTTCTTACGGGAAAAATTGCTTGGGTCTTCCAACGACCTCCCGGAACGAATTAAGTTGAAAGTACCAGGTACCAGCGTATTCGATTATTGTTGGAAAATTCCAGATCGATAGTAGTACTACGTAAAATAACTATTTTCCACACGCGTATCACCGACTTGACGTTCTCTTCCAACAACTACTACGCACGCGCGTTTCTTCTCTGTCTCGACGCTTCACTGTACTCGCTGCTCCGCTAACACGTAGCTTAACAATAAACAAGATTATTGTTCTCTACAAAATACGGCTTTTGGAACGGCGCGGATTCCGCTTTCTGGACAACGGCGAAGAAACGGGTTTAAAATAACAATTATTACTAGTGCCGTGGGACGAGTCGGAAAACGTCGACGATTACGTCTAATTTTTTTTTTCTTTTGATTTTTTCCCGCGGGCATCGAGAGGGGCAAACGGCGAGGACCGGGTCCGACAACTCGAAAAACGGCGTTTCCTAACCGGAACCCATCCGGGTTTCCCGGTTAGGAAACGCCGGTCGAACGTTTTTCCATTAGCCTTTGGGTTCTCCGGTGGTTACTCGTAGAGCGATACCCAACTTCCTTTGTATTTTAATTAATAAAACTCGTCCGTTATTGTTTATTCGAAATAACAGTCGAAGGTAATGGGTGGTGGAATAAAGGTCCGCGGTCGAAAAGGAAAAATTGCAGTTTTTCCAACGGGGTAAGAGAAAACCACCCGCGGAGGTAGGAACGATCGGGGCACCGTCCAATATTTTAGGGGAGAGGCGGAGAGAACGGAGATCCGGCTTAATTCCGAGGTCGAAAGCGTTTCGACCGAGACTTTCGGCTCGGCCTCCGTTGCCCTTTCCGAAAATTCGAAGGATTTGCAGAGTCCTCCGCCTTCCTTTCTTCTAAAAGTGGTGATGGACGGTCCGAAGAAAAACATACCCCGGGGTTAAACGATTGGGAAGGAGCGGAAGACGGCGAAGAAAAACCGGCGCAGTTTTCTTATTTACAGGAAAAGAGAAACGGTTTTGGCCATCCTGGAAGAAAAGCGTTTCGTCTATCGATTTACCTTCCGACGCACGGCCTTCGCCCTCTTTCGGACATTTTTCTAAAATTACGAAACTAATTTTCCCACGCGCGATACACGACGGGAATTTTTCGTATCCCGTCTCTCCGGAGACAGAGAAACGAAGGGAGACAACCTTTCCGTCCGACCGTCGGATCGTTACCGAAACGCATCGTCACCTCCCTTTTTACCAAGTCCCCAGTCCAGTGACCGGGTCCGTCCCCGAAGAAAAGCCTATCGGCTTCGGGCCAGGCCATTCGGGAAGAACGGAAAGGGGTCTGGGGCCGAAACGAAAGGCGTTTTAATCGACGTCGGCCCATTAAGTCGAACGAGTCGGCAAACAAGGCAATTTGTCTTCGTTTTCGCTCCGTCCGACGGTTGCCACGGCCACCGGGAAGCGGCCGTCGGGACCGACCCAAAGCGGCGGCGGGGGTGGCCGGCGGCCCGAGTTTCGGGAAATGATATGCCGTCGAAGACGGTAAGTTGGCCGTCGGGCGCATTTAATTTTCGGAAAATGAGGAAAGGCCCGTCTCTTCCACGGATTCCCAGCCCGAAGGATAATCGTCCGGTCCGGGCCCGCCGCGCGGAAGGAAAAACTTCCCGGGCCGGAGGGCCGACGGTCTTTCTCCGGCTGAAGAATCCTCACCCAAACCGGAGCGCGACAGATGGAAGGCGGGAAAGGTGGCGGCCACCTGTCCGACATCCGACCCCTTCGACATGTGGCCGACGAGAGCCCGGACTCCGCTCCGCCCCGAATTCGGGCGGCCGACGGGCCTTTAATTAACCCGTTAAGCGTCCTCCGCCGACGTTCCCCGGGAGGCGTCCGTCCCCCGACTTTTCGGTTTACCCACCGTACGATAATTAACGTTCCGCCTTGAAAAGTAAATAATTCTTCCTTTCGACCGGCGGCCGTTAAACTCTTTCGTACTTTTATTCTCGTCGGATATTTACGGGCCGAGTTTATACTTTCCTTCCGGCTAAATTCCGTTCGACTCGGCCGCAAAACGCCTGGGTTAAAATTCTATTTCCATGCACTCCCCCCAGCCGCCGACGGGCAACGCCGTGCCGCTGGGCCACCCCGGAAGACCCGAATTTCGGGTGTCGACTCTCTTCCCATCCACCAGACTCGGGCCGAAGGCGGTTTTCTCGTCCGACGCCGCGTGGTCGGGGAAGTCAGTAAGCAGAGAGAGAGAAGCAGAAGGCTCTTACCTTGTAAACGTATTGATCGTACAACTGAGCCATGTCGAGGAGCGTTTACTCCCAGGCGGGAGTTGGACGCCGGTGAAGGTCGAGGTCGGGGTCGAGGTCCCGACCCGGAAGAAAATTTGCGCCCTGTGGCCCGCGTCCACGCCGACTGGGCTCGAAATGCGGCGCCGGTTCCGGGCCCGGCAACAACTTGTCGCGCGCCACCAATAACCCGAGCCCCGGGCCGTCTTCCCGTCCCGGATTGGAGGTTGCCCGCAGTGACCGGCCGATCCATTCTCGGCGGGGGGAGGAGCCGCCGGAAGAGGGGACGGGCGCCGTCCGTAAATACGTAAGCAGGCCGTCGGCTAAGCGCCCTCTACGGGCAAATAAAATAACTATTAGAGTGGGAGGGAGGGAAATTCCTACCTTCGTTGCCGTCGGAAAATCGTCCGTTTTTTCTTCCTTCCCCGGTTACTCGACGGTTAGCGAATTTTCCCAGGTGGAGGAAAAGAAAACGGTCGACGTTAAACCGGAGGAGGAAAGAAACGTCGGAGAGGAAATCGATGACTTTCCAAAATGGACTCCCTTTACCGTACATTTACGGCCGTTCCGTTCTGGTCGTCCGGGACGCGGCTTTTATTAAGACGAAAGTCACTCTCTACCCTCTTCCTGCGAAGTTGCTTCTCCCCGTTCCTGCCGCGAAACGTTCGGTCTCCTTCTCCTCCTACCTCCTCGGGTCCCCGGAACGGCCAAAGCGCTTTCCGACGGACGGCCGAGTTATGGCTTTGGCCAATGCCGCCAATTCCGAAGGGGTTCGGTCTCCCCTCCGTCGTCTGAGGCGTTTCGCCGGAAAATTTCTAGGCCAGAGGACGTCACTTCCGGTCTCTTCTGGCCGGAAAATTTTCGGCCAGAAGAGGCCGAAGAACCAGTGCCACCATCCGCCTTTCGTCCTGATAATCGGGAGGATCCCTTTCTGTTGGCGGACGACCGAGTAGCCCGATTTCGAGTCGATCTTCCGCCTCGTTCGGTAGAGTTTTTGCTCGGCGGATAAAGAGAAGCCCCACGACCTGTCTAGTAATAACGAAAGGCCCAAAGCCGTACTTTACCCGCCATTTACACTAAGGCATGGAGCAACGCGACAAACTCACCGTCCGAAAATCCCGGTGGTGAAGTCGGAAGGGATAGTTAAGGAGAGAGAAGGTGGAAAAAGGGCTAATTGCTCCGGCTGGGCGCGCTCGACGTGGACGATGTTGTGGAGGAAAGTAAGGGAAACGGTGGAGAAAATGGCGTCCGGCCTGGCGGTGGCGGGTTAATATACTCCGGCCTGTCGCGGCGGGTCCAAAGCCCAATCGTGCTGGCGCCCAGGAATATTCCGGACGTCGGCCACTTCCGTCTGGGAAACGTCCGAGGAACGGATGGAATCATTCTTCTCCTTCCGTCGGCCTCCCTATTTGCGGGTTTACATTTACCCTGACGTCTTCCGGCGTCTTCCCCGTCGCTCGACGTTTCCATAAATCCGGGCGGATCCCGACGGGGAGGAAAGATCGACCGGGGATTTCCGATCGAAGGAAACAAAATTAACTTTAAAAATTAAATTATGGGTTAAAATGTAATAATCGCCGTCTTAAATGCAACTACGGCCGATTTCCGGTTAATTTAATTGCCGGTTTATACACCTTTAGCGCCGGAGTAATTCGAATTTGCCTTAGGAATCGACGACGTTTCGTTATCACCTCCGACTTGGTTAAACGCGGGAAGAGAGTTCGTCGGTCCGTTCTCTGTACCAGATCGTATTTACTTTTTACAAAAGACCTGGACCTGCCCTTGCCCTTCCGGGGCCCGCTGTTAACCGGGCGGTCCAGATTAAAAACCCCGGAATTCCGCGCCTTTTTGACAGGTAGAATGCTATAAATGAATGTTACGGTTATTTTCAGACAGTGATGCAAGAAGCAGGAGTCTCCCACCGTCCCGTGGAAAAAACCGCGGCCAGACCGACAAATTTAATTTTTCGTAAATGAAAACGCCCGTTTCTTTCGCCGGATAAAAATTTGCAGGTCGAAGTTTTCGTTAGGCATCGACTTAATTAAATTCCACTTTTTATTTTCTGATGAAAAACGAAAGTTTAAGCGCCGTTAACAATTTTTTCTGACGGTTATAACCTTAACCCGACCGGAATTTTTTTTTCTTTCTTAGTTAGTTCCGTAACTGATTTAGAAAATATCGAAAGGTTAAACATTTTATAGTAGGAAAGACTCATCGGGTAGACAAACGGACGTTCCGCCCAAAATGAATAGGCCGTTTGATCAAATATCGGCAGAAAGCGCGCAGACCTCCGATAAGTTATTACCGCTCCGTCCGATCCCAACTTAAAAATCGATGAATACTTTAAAGGAAAATAACGCGCCGCCAAATTGCCGTCCGCGATTTTCCGCCGAAAAATAAGCCATCGACGCCTTTCCGTCGTTTAAAGCCTTGGACATCCATCCAACCGGTAAAGGCGAAAACACACCGCTTCGTTGGCCGGCGGTCGGGCCCGAACCCCGGAACGACCGAGGGAAGCGGCGGGGTTTAAAATCCAAATGGTGGCATTTGTTGACGAGACGTGAAAAGGGGATGGGACGGGACCGTCCTTCTCTCTCCCCGCTTCGGAACTTGGGACCCGTCTGCGGTTACTATGGAAACGCGGTCAATTTTACCGTCGGAAGAGACGCCGGACGAGAACGGTGGGAGGCGACGGAGGTAGGCCACCTCCCGGGATTTGGGAACCGACGTTTTACCGTTTTTCCTCTCGATCGGAGGCCCTTCTCCAATTAATTCCGACGGCACTTACCGCACCACCGTAATTCTTCCCTCCGTCCGTTAATCTAAGAAACGCCGGTTTTTCTTCGGTGTCACCCGGCGGGGGCTGCCGTTGGCGGTTAAACTCCGACCCGGAGAATTCTTTACCAGACCGGGGATTTTCCGGATAATCGAATCTGAAACGGAACGGGCGGCCGACGGTTAATCGATCGATACCCGGTAATCGTAATTTACCCTTCGGCTGCGGCGTAATTAACGTCCGTTAACGGCCCGGCGCCTAGCCGGAAGATAAGCGGGTTTATATAATCTGCCGACGGCGAGACCTTCCCACTTGATTATCCGTTAATTATCTGGCCAATAAATAACGGCCGAATAAGAACCGGGTCCACTTTCCATCCGTCGCCTCCCGGATTTTTTCCCTTTCGCGGAAACGTCCGTCGGTGGGTTCGATCTAATCGGCTTTTAATTTCCGTTCGTTTTCACCGAAAATCTCCTTTCTTCCCGGCTACCGACCGGTAAAGGTCACGGAGCGGAGGGAGAATTTCGAAATTCGGAGGAACATCCGGCGTCCTGACCGAGACTCCAAAGGTGTAAAAGGCACTCCGCTTCCGCCCGTACGCGTCTTTCCGACCACATCGAACGTCGTTTGAAGCGGACAGCGCCATCGATTCCACCTCCCGTAATACTTATTAATCTACCGCTTCCCTCGGTATCGGAATTAAACGGCTTCCGGCCGTTTTCTCCTACCGTCCCAGCCCGGCGCGCGCTGATTCCCAGTGGGAGGAAGTCGACGACGACGACGACTGGCTTAGTTCGAAAACGTCGGGTGCGGCGCGGCCCCCGCTTCCATCAACCGAAGGGCCCGCTCCGTCGCTTCATCTCCGGAAAGGCGCGGAGACAAAATATCGCTAGTTCCGTCCGTGAAAAACGTCGCCGGTCGGATAAGCCTGGGCCATCTCCGTCCGTTTCCGGAAACGTAGACGGAAATAACCGGCATCGGTCCGGACCGCCGGAGTCGCGGCCTCCGCGCCGCTGCCCCACGCACCCCGGTGGCGGAGAGCGGCACGTGTTCGGCACGTGCCCAGCCTTACCACTTTCGGTCGACCGACTTCCCATTAAAATCCTCTTACAAAGCTATTTCTTTCACTCCTTTTCTTTTCGTTATTTACCGTTTATCCCGGAAACGGTCGATTACGTTCCGGTCCTTTTAACCGGATCGGACCTCGGCCTCTCCCGCTCCTTTTGTTCTTGACGGAGAAGCGACGTCGATTCCAAGGGGCCCTTCCTCTGTCACCCTCCGAAATACCTAAAACGTCCGTGGCGGGCCACGTATTACTTCGTCGGCCTCGTCTGTTGGCTTTTTTTTCTGTCGCGCTGCCAAATTCCTTCCTTCCTCTTTTTTCTCCGTCCGAAATACTTTTTCTTGCCGGAAACTCAACAGGGTCTGCCCTCCTGGTAGCCTTGTACCTTGCAGATTTACTGGGTTCGTAGGTCTCGTTGCCATTATTGAACCATACTCGATTGTCGGTGAGGGCAGAAAACTTGTATCCGATATGTATCAAATCGTATACAGTATTTGATTGGGCTGCAACTTAAAAAAAATTATACACCTATAAATTCCCACTGTCTGTTCTTTCTTAATTAATCTTGAGAACGGAGTTACGTAGACGAAAGTCGAGACCAGATATGGAAGTCTTTGTAGTGTGAGGTCCCGATTAACTATATAAGAACTTTCCATTTGCAACGGAAGTCACGTTGTTTCGTTTCAAAAAGTTTTTCCCGAAAAGAGTTAGACGACCGGCACGACTCCGTTGCTAACGGAAAAGCGTGATGTACGGGGGCGAGCCACTAATAATTTGAGAAGAAGAGTATATAATTTAAATGAAATAAATTAAAGATACTGTTAAAATTGAAGCCCAGCATTGTGACCGTCTCACAGTAAGTAATTGCTCGTTATCCAGTATCCAGTGGTTATTATATTTGGTGGGTCTCTTTCTTTTTATGGAAAACCTTTTGTCAATAACGTGTCTTTTTTCATACAATTATTGCTTAATTACTTTCATATATATATATATATATAATCTATATATATTAGGTTAATTAAAAATGTTTAGACCAAAACACGCTAAGACACGCGGACAAAGTATAAGAATGGAAGTGAAAAAAGAGAAATAAACGCCAGAGGATAGCAAAAGAGCATTCTAAGTACTGTACTGTATATATCTTTAAAAAATGCATCAACCAGTCGCTTTACTTTC